ATCGGAGGAATTTGTGCGGCGAAATGTCGAGCAAAAAATGAACAAATCATTCTAATGGTTACTATTTATATTTCACCAAATCAAAGTGTAGAGAAAATTAACGAATTCATTCACAAAAATTTAGTTGCCTACGCTGAAGCTGGATCAACTCTTCTGAACAAATTGCCTATTATTTTAAGTGAGGACTTTAATGTAGATTTTTCAAAAGACAAATCAAAGCCTTTAAACATTTTTTTAAAATCAAAATTCAGTTTAATTATGTCAAATGATCCAAATGAAAGCACGACAAAGTACGAAACAACGCTTGATGGAATTGTTTCAGATTTTTAAATACTTTTGAATCTAAATTATTGATAACCTATTTCAGCTACCATAAACCTATTGCTCCCTTCTTAGAATACAATTAATTCACAAATATGATTGTATATTTTGCAAAAAAATATTACTTAATGAGTACAGACATATGAATAAATAATTTTATATGACAGTACTAATATCCCTTTGTTTTTTACTCACCTAACTAATCCCTATAACATTTCAAAATTTGAAGTTGTCACTTCCATCGAGTGGTCATATATAAACACACACGCTTTTTTCTTTTTTTAATTCATATCATTTCTTTTATAAATTTTATTTTATAAAAAAGTGCTATCGCAAATATTTTCTTTTTATATTTTTATTTAAAAACCAAATTTCTAACAGACTTCATAAGTTAACATTACTATTATACACTCTAGGGATCCCTGCTAGCTAACTACGTCTTAGAGCACCCTCCAAGTCCCTGGACTAAACACAATGAAATATGCTTCTTAATTCTAAACCAGATGTTATGGCCAACACACCCCATTCTCTACTTTATGCTAATGTGATGACTAAGAGCCGCAACAAGTTAATTATACTACATGATGGATCTTTAACGGAATCAGGGTTCGAACCCGCCGCTTAACCGAAACATCATAGACCACAAATTTGAAGGTATAATTATTGAGCTACAATTACTATAACCGCAAGAACAGGAAGGGTGTTGCTTCCTTCGCCTAGGTCTGTGGTCGGCAAACCCGCTACTCGCGAGCTGCATGAGGCTTTTTAACACCATTTTATAAGTTTCACTGGTATGTAACGGAATCTTTGAACTCAATTTTTACCCACTTTAAAAGATCAGATGAATTAGAAATTTTGCGCACTAGTCCAGGACCCATGGCAATACAATAATTTAATAATAGGATCCTCAGAATTAACGAATTTCCATTTTCAGATCCCATTCCGCATCTGGCGACTAATTTCAAATCCCATTTTTAGATTTGGCGATTAAAAGATTAAGTTACAATTTAGCTCGATTAACTATAAAAGGGTGTTTTTTAGTTTTTTAAAACTGTAATTTATTGCATTGATGGTTGAAGCTTTTCAGATTTCTGCCCTCAAAGCATCATTAAAAAAATAACTCCCGTATTTACTCGAATCTAAGCCGTTTTTCCATCGTTAATGCTACTGAAAATCGTTACCGGCTTAGAATCGAAAGCAAAACATTTGTTGGATAGGAGAAATTAAGTTTCCACCCCTTTCAAGAAGAAACATGTAACCGTCCATCTAGCCACTTGCATCAATGGCTTAACCCTTTCCCCCGTTAATCTTTAGTGTTCAATCTATCCTACCTGGTTGTCTACTCGTATTTAGGAAATTTTTTGTGTGTACTTTCTTTTAATCATCTAAACATCAATCTTATCGGTAAAGGCATCAAGACAAGTTCAATATGACGCAAGAAAAGATTGAAGCAATTTCATATGCAGAAAAAAACGGAAACAGAGCAGCTGCCATTGAAAATTTGACACGAGTGAAGCCAATATACGTCGATGGCGTAAGCAAAATAATATAATTTTTGCGTGTAAATGTTCGACAGTCTTTAATATTTTTTTAATTCTTTTAAAATAATGCTGCATAACAAATACATTTGATAGCACGGAAGACAAAACCATGCGGGAAAATGGTGACGCCTGCATCAATTCTGAAGTCAGTTGTGACAATGGGAGTGACAAATTCTTTTCGAAATATCATATTGAATGTTAGAGTAATTATAGATTCATGTATGTTGTATATCTGAAAGTTTTTAATACAGGTAAAATAAATTTATTAACTTATTATTTTTAATTATTGTTTTTCTTAAGTATCGGATATCGATGAACCTTTTACACAATTTTTTTTATCTTATCTCAAAAACGTGTACAGAATTGGGAGAGCAGCTTACGATCTATGACAACATTTTTTTCTCAAAAACATGATGACAATTTGGGATGCGACTTAGAATCGATGGCGGCTTAGATTCCAGTAAATACGGTAAGTCAAATAAAAATGATTGTTTTCCTTTCTTTCTTTCTTTTTTCTTTTAAATCATCTGTTGAAAAATTCAACTTTAAATGAGAATTTTCTTTTACATTTTAAAATTTGACTGACTCAAGACTGTTACTTCTGTATTAAATTGTTTTCCATTAACAAAGTTGAATGAGAATCAATGAAAGTACTAGCGTTAGTTCTAAAACAGCAAAAATCTAATTTATTGGTAAAAATGCCGCTGTTGGTAGACAATATTCAAAGTGATTTCCAGTAACGTTTACTTTTCTGGATGCATGTGTTCGAGAATACTCATAAATGGACAAGAGATGCATTTAAACACCCCAACAGTAGGGGTTTTTTAAGGAGGACATTAACTTATGGATTAATAAAAAGAATGTTGAAATGATTTTTACATACGAAAACAACCAACGCAATTATTAGTCAGTTTTAACTAATAGTGCAAACAGGAAATTCTACACTGCTGGCCACGGTAAATGCAACAACTTGAAGGAAGCATCCAAATAGCATGAAATTTATAACATGCATTAGCGGAGGTGAGATATGTAAATAATTAGATTTTCAGCGCAGACAAACATCACGCGCGCCTGTGGCGCCACCTCAAAGCGCTATTTAAGACTTGGAGATTTCGACGATTTCAAGTTCGGCAATTGTTTTTTTCTTGTTATTTTTTCAAAAATCGATCAGTTATGTCTCGTAGAATACATCGATCAGCTTTTGATCAAGTATCCGAGTTCGACAGAGGAAGGATAGTGGCCTACCGAGATTGTGGATTATTTTTCAGGAAAATCAGTAGTCGTGTTGGACGAAATCAAAGAACTGTAATGCGGATATGTGACAGTTGGATGCAGGAAAGTACGATGGACCGACTTGGTCAATCACATCCAACTCAGTGCACAACTTCACGTGAGGACAGGCAAATTGTGCTCATGGCAGTGATGGATCGCTCAGTCACATCTCGAACTATAGAACAGCACATTAAGTCTGTAACGCATCATTCCGTGTCTGCGCGTACCATTCGACGCCGTTCACAGCAGAGTGGTCTGTCCGCAAGACGTCCATTGCTTGGTCTACCCTTGACGCAAAACCCCAGACGTCTGCGCCACCAATGGTGCGATGAAAGAAGGATGGGGCGGCAGAATGGAATGAAGTTGTATTTACTGACGAGTCACGCATCTGTCTGCAACACCACGATGGTCGGATTTGAGTCTGAAGACACCGTGGAGAGAGGAGGCTGAACAGCTGCGTTATGCACCGCCACACTGGTCCTGCACCGGGTATTATGGTATGGGTTGGTATTGGATACCACTCTCGCACTCCTCTAGTACGCATTGCCGGTACTTTAAACATCCAGCGCTACATCTCCGAGATGTTGGAGCCAGTTGTCCTTCCTTACCTTCAGGGCTTGGCCACAGCCATATTTCAACAAGGTAATGCATGACACCACGTGGCACGTATTGTCCAAAGCTTCTTCGTCAATCACCAAATTGAATTGCTTCCCTGGCCGGCTCGCTCTCCTGATCTTTCGCCGATAGAAAACATGTGGTCCATGGTTGCTCAACGATTGACCCAGATTGTACCCCCAGCTGCCACACAAAATCAACTTTGGCAACGTGTGGAAGCTGCTTGGTCTGCTGTACCCCAAGAACACATCCAAAGTCTCTTAGAATCAATGCCGAGGCGTGTGGCGGCGGTGATCGCCAACAATGGCGGCTACTCTGGCTACCGATTCTGGCTAGTACCACACTTCACAGAAGTCTATAAATTTAATCATTTGATACTCGGTCAACATGTTATCCACAAAATACATTTTTGTTGTGCTATTTCTTGTCTTTCTTGGTGTTGCATTTACGGTGGCCAGCAGTGTAGAATAAAGCACTTACGATATTATTGGTATGGAAATGTTTTCATGGGTTTAAAAGTTTAATTATCAACATTATGACATTTTGGCAAGAGTTGTTCCTAAAATGACCGACAGAAGCAAAAATATCGTTTATAGTTCTTTGTTTTTTGAAGAAATGGAAAACATTAGTTTGCTTTAAATTTTATTTAAATATTATAAAAATATTAATTAGAAGCTGACAATCTTGATCGCAACCGTTACCGGATGCTCTTCTATTGCCTCCTGCGAAACATTTGCGTATAAATGGCTATTTTTTTAAGCCTGGTTATCTTATTTTGATTACAACTTTTCTATCTCGAAAGTTTCCCAACGTCTGAACCAAAAGAATACAATTTATTCCGAAAATGGTTAGAGTTATAAGGACATGTGTGTGAAATTTATTAAAGCGTGTGCAAGTTATTTTTTTTAAAAAAATGGCATCAATAGTGAAATAAACAAAACAAAATCCATCGTAACCACACAAATAAGTAAAGATAATACTTTACAAGTAATATAAAAGAAAATTTAAGTCAATTCCTGCTTAGGTCAACAAAGAAAAGTTTTATTTTAGTTACTTTTTATTAAGTAGTTACAATTAATATAAATATGTACATACATATGACAGAATCACAATATTAATTGACAAAATAGAAAGCAATATTTCCCTTGAAATTTTGCATTTTCTTTCTATACCTGGTGTGTGTGTGTGTGTGTGTGTGTGTGTACTATTTTTTTTGTTTGTTACTATTTATTCATTAATAAAATTTAATAGTATTTCTCAGAAAAATGGGATTCGAACCCACAATCATCGGATTGAAAGTCCAACGCGCTAACCGTTGCGATACATGGACACGGCGAATGACATTCCTTTCAATAGATGCTGTTGAACTATTATTTTTGTTTGTTACTATTTAACCATTTTTTAATTTAATGAATGAATTAATATTTCAACAAACTGTATTAACATCAAGTGTCCTCCACGACAAGTTTTTAAAAAAATGTATTTGAACTCTAAGTGGATGAATAGAAAGTATTTTATTAATGATTGAAAGTTTTAATAAGGGATATATATATAGAGAGAGAAGATATATATGTATAAGTGAACTAATCGTAGGAATTGAAAAGAGAAAATAACAGTACTAACAAATGCTAACAAAAATTGTTACACTTCAGACATTCTTTATCCTCTCAGTTTTTAGAATAAATCCGAAGGGCAGATTTGTAAGTAATAATCAAAATATGAAATACTTTCTGTGGAATTGTCTCGAGGGAAACTACTTCGCATTTTCATAAAGCACAAAACAGGAAATTAAAAGAATTTCAATAGAGAAAAAAAGATGTTGAATCTAATATCATTGTATCGCTTAAGATTCATAGAACTTGAAGAGTCTACAACCTTCTTCCAATTCAACTTTACATTCCTTGCTGGTATTTTCTTTTTCTGTCGGTTATAAATCTACGACATAACTGAGGCATTAAAAAAGTTACAACTTTGGTTACAAGGATTATCCCACTGTTTTGAGGAAAATAGAATGGCCTAAAGCACAATGAGGAAATTTACATCTATGATATCAAATCTTAACTATTTTCGAATAAAAATGTCAAACTGTCTCCATAAACGGAAAATGTCATTTGACAAGCACGTGTTAATTGGTTTGGTTGAAGGCTACTATCAATGCTGTTTCCTGAATATCAATTGAAGGATTGAATTATAAAAAACGTAATCATAATCGAAGGAGGAAGTAAAATTGTAATTCCAATCGATATATATAAGTACATCTTCCTTAACGAATGCATGATTTTTTGAACTAGTTATATGATTGCATCATTTCTTTTAAGCATATTACAAATTTTAAAAAGGATGATGAATTGACATCTAATGAATAAGCTCAAAAAGGAAAGAATTTTTTCAAGATGTTATTTTGTAAGAAATATATAAAGCAAGTATTTTCTTCTGTTGTTGGACGAAATAAAATTTGAACAAACTTCCAAGTTCGAATTTATGATGTAGAAAATATGAAAAGAAATATATAAACAAAAATATGGAAAAAAATTTAATCAATTCCTATACTTAGGTCAACAAAGAAAAATTTTATTTTAGTTACTTTTTATTAAATAATAATAATTAATATAAATATGTATATACATATGACAGAATCACAATATTAAGTGGTAAAATAGAAAGCGATTTTTCATTTTCCTTTTTTATATGGTGTAGGACTATTATTTTTGTTTGTAACAATGTATTCATTAATTAAACTTAATTATTCGAATAAAGTAGTATAGTGAAAAGAAATCACATTCTCAGAAATTGGGCTACCCTAGGAGGTAGGATGCGAACCCACGGCCTTTGGATTAGAAGTCCAACGCGCTATTCATTGCGTTACAGGGACACAACAAGCGATTTTCCTTTCTATATATGGTGCTAGACTATTATTTTTGTTTTGTTACTATTTATTCATTAATTACATTTAATTAATGAGTTAATATTTGAAAAAACTGCATTAACATCTAGTGTCATCCACTACTAGTTTAAAAAAATGAATTTGAACTTGAGTGGATGAATAGTAAGTATTTTATTAACAATTGAAAATTTGAATGAGATATATACGTAATGACGTGGCCAATGTGGAAGGAGTTTCTTAATAATAAATCCACTTTTTATGATTTTTGATGTTACTTACTGATGAGATTGATGAGGCAGCCTTGTGATTACTTAAATCAGTTTTATTGAGCATCTCGTGACACACAAATATACGCATCTTAAATAAACGGGGATAGGACGCCCCAAAATGCGAGGACACTACGTCTCTTGGAACTTAAAAGCGAAACAGTGAAAAAAAGTTAAGTGATAAAAAAGCCAAAGAGGTCGTAACCAACTCACCGACATTTTAATATCAAAAATTAAAAGATACTACAGTACGACTATTAAAAATAATATCACTGTTATAATCACTGAAATAATAAACTGCTGTTTGCGCAATTTATTTCCATCTTCTTTCTTCAAACGAGAGCAATCAACATAGACTGTGTCCCGATCCAAGTTTCAAAAGACAGAAGCTGAATGTAACGAAAGACACTATGATCACATAAACAAAAATACACCATAATGAATTAAATGAAGCCAATTTTTCTAGATCCAGTTGATCCTATATGTTATTAAGAAAATGTTTATATGGAACCCACATAACATAACCCAGAATCCTAAAGAGTCAGTTAATAACACTATATGGTCAGTGATTCCTAGATCTACAATTATGGAATTAAAAACTCTGAAATTAGGGGTATATATGGCTATTGAACAGTTCAATATGAGTCATGTAGAAAAATTAATGATCTTAAAAGATTGTGATATTAAATCAAGTTATAACTGTGTGTCATGCCTCAAAAAACTAGATACACGTAGGATTTGTGTAGCCCAACAAAAGCACATCTTAAGATTCCTCAAAAAAGGCAAAATTGTTAAAAATAATGAAAAAAAGAAAATTATAAAAGTCTTTTGTATGAGCAGAGAGTTAAAAAAATACACCATAGGCTTTTGGAAAGTACTAAAAAAGTAAATGCTCAGAAAACTACAAATTTTTACTTTAAAGCCTGTTTTCTCAAAATGTAATATTCTTCACTTTATGTACCTTTTGCTCAAAAACTACTCATTATATAATCCTCAAATTTTTAGTGAGCAGGCTTTTAACATGTTTACCCATTTTAATAGAGGGAATTAGATATATCTTGCAAACTGTTTTAGATATGATCTTTTTTAAACTAAATTTTAGGGGGGAATTAAACAATTTTTAAAAAATTCATAATTACTTTAATTTTTAACAAAAAGACAAAACCCTTCATTAAAGTGTTATTGATAGTACACATAGCCTTCCGAAAAATTTTTATTCATGAGAAGTAATTTTCCTGAGGAAAAAATACATAGACTTATGCAATTTAACATGGGCTCCTATGGATGTACATAATATTTAATTTATAACATAATATTTTTTGCAGTAAATTAAAAACATATATATTTCAAAATTTTTACCCGGACTACATTATTAGTGTTTTTTTTAAACAAATATAAAATGCACCTTAAAAGGTCTTCAGAAACAGACACGATTATTGAAGAACTATAAAACAAATGTTATGACTCTTACGCGTTATTACTCGTTCACTTCTAAGTCCACTAAAAATTTCGCAACTGTCTTGCTTTAAAGTTGTCGTAGAAGCTTATCTGTTATTTCGTCAATATCATACTGAAACAGTTCTCACTTACTCTCAAGATTTCGTAATAGTTTATTTTTATGTAGGAGTATATCCTGTTACCTAATCTATGTAATACTGAAATATTTCCTTTAATTTTAAAGTTTCTCGATTGAAAAAACGATCTTTATAATCTTGACTTTATGTTAATTAAATTCGTAAATGTGATGCAATACTGCAGAATTTTCAGTATTCTCTTAAAACTGATCTATCTATATCAAAAATAAAACGCATTTAAAGGAACAAAATGTAATAAAGGTTTCTAAGTATTATACAATTATACTTTTTTCCCTTCCGATTTCAAATATTCTAATTATTCATTTGCAGGTTATCAGATGAACAATAAATATTAAGAAATATTTTCAAATATCATAAAAATACAATTCCAGAAAAAACCTGTTATGTTTTACTCTTTCACATTTTATTCACCTTATCACTTTATTCGTCATTAACTCTGATGCGCTTCATTGCATTCAAACCGATGCAATGGTCTAGGTTTAAGAAGAAAAACAGATATTCCATTACGTTTGTAAATTCAAAATAGCCGGTAGACGACAGCCTTTACTGATTATAAATATTGCTAGGTATTGTTTACACCTAAATTTATTCCCCGTGGGGCAGTACTTAACATAAAAGTCACTTTTTTATTTTATTTTGTCATGTATCTATACAGTGTGTTGCCAAGTTCGACCGACAAATTCAGAGGGATGATAGCAGGCAGCATGGGGACCACGAGCCACCATAGAATAGGGGGTAGCAAACTACATTTACTCGGTGAAAATCATGATAAAAGTAGTCGTCGGGAAGTCCGTGGGCCAGTCAAGGGGTGTGGCCAAGCAAATGTGAGGATTTGGAGCGCCGTGGTAGGATTAAAGAAACCTGCACGTAATGTAAATTTCCCACATCTCTTGGAGTTGCTGCAGAGAGTACTATGCACCAGCATGTGTGATTCATGCATGAGGGTGCACCAGCCCATTTTTTGTTTGAGGTGCGTAACCACGTCTATATCAAGGGAGGTGAATTGGACACATCTTAGCCTCCACGCTCCCTGGACCTCCCTCACGATCCCTTGGATTTCTTCTTTTACGGCCACCTGAAATCGTTTGTGTATGAGACGCCGGTGATTACAGTGGAGGATCTCAAGGTACTGAGATCGTCGTCGCTTTAGCCAACATCGCCATCATACCGGCTATTTGAACGCGTGGAGCAATCTTTCATCCACCAGCGTCAGTTGTGATATGGCCTACCCTGCCGCATCTTCGAACGATTCTGTAACAATCACTTGTCGTAATATTACTGACGTCGAGCTGTGATGCATTTTTTGTATTGTAAACGTGCTTTACGTCTAATAAATCTATTTCTTACCTTTTATTCCCTCTTTTCATTCCACTCGACATCACACCCTTTATAACTGTTTTTGTGAATTACTTCGACTGAACGAGGATTGCGACCCAATGTTCTATTCCGATGTATTATTCCCGTACTGTCTACTGAATTTGTCGGTCGATTTCGGCAACACCCTGTGCAATATAGAAGATCTTTTCCGCATAGATAGGTTTCGGAACTTTGCAAAAATATTTCGATCCACCCTACTAAATA